AAAGAACTTTAGTTTTAGCTGCTTACTGGGGCTAACCCACTACGACAGATCAGCCTATTTTTAAGGTAAAACTGTGCTACTCCTGGGATGTGATGGGAGGGAAAGGGCACTGGTGTGAGTTATTAGTGGAACAAGACCTGCCCAACTCAGCATTAAGCCTGGGTCTAAAAAGGCTCTGGAGAGAGTGGGAAGAGATGGGAACAGGCAGTGAACAATTTGCCTCTGGCAATTTGAAACTGGCCTTTTCTCCCTGCTGACTAGAGGGAAGAAACCCAAGGAGTGTAAGATGGACCACATCTGCCCAAGCTGTGCCCTGAGGGGCCTCAGGGACTGTTGTGTTGGGATCCATGTGATCAGGTGTCAGATGGGAGGTAGTTGGAGTGGAGACAGCAGCAATCCTTGAGGATGCTTTGCCTGTCTGTTGAGTAGTGCCAACCATATCAACTGGTCTTGCCTCTTCAACCTTGTCTTGGTGCAGCCACATGAGGATTTGCTGCCAGTGGCAGTGGAGCAGAGCCCTGTTCATATGGAAACTGGGGCTGAAGCCCTCATAGTATTCTTGGAGGGGTAAAATCCCTGTTGTGACTGTGACCACAGTCAGTCACTTCTGGGTGATATGGGACTCAGTCTCATCTTGGCAGCTCTGACAGTCTCCAGACCTCTCTGCAACCTGTAGGGTTTGCTGCCAGGGCTTTCTATGGGACCCATTGAAGGTATGGCTGTGTACATCCCCATCCTCCAGATGCCTCAGCCTCCAGGAGAGGCTTGTAAACTGCCTGGGTGGCTTTCCCAGAGCTGCTATTGCAGGGACTGCAGGGCTCTGGCAGGCAGGTGCTGCTGGGACCTCTCTCAGCTTCTGGCCCTGCAGCTCTTCCCTTGCTGTAAACAGCCGTCTCTCCTGCCCCCCAGCCCCAAAGGGAATTTCCAGCCCCTCCCCCAGCTCCCAGCCCATCCACAGCACTCGTGGCCACCCGCCCCACCAGGGAGCTCAGACACTCCCTGTCTGCAGCATCTCACGCAGCCTCCCAGCTCCAGACACTGTTTTACCCACATTCATTGATTCACAGGATGGTTTGGGCTGGGAGGGATCTTGAAGATCACCTCATTGCAGCCCTCCTGCATTGGCAGGGATGCCTTCCTCTAGACGAGGTTGCTCAAACCTCCATCCAACCTGGGCTTGAACACTTCCAGGGAGTGGGCATCCAACAGCTTCTCCAGGAAATCTGCTGGTGTCTCACCACCCTGACAGTAAATAATTTATTCCTAATATCTAATAAAAAATCTACCCTCCTTCAACATAAAATATTCAAGTCTGGGTGGGTGCTTCTGCCTCTCTGCCTCCCTCTGGATAGACAGGTCAAATGGCCAGTCTTGACTTCCCAAGGTTTTGGTGCACTGGGTTAGTCCCTGTGTGTGTCTGGGAGGAGGTTGATGTACATGGTGTGGCTCTGTTTGTTGGTGCAGGGAGTCCCCTCTGCATTCCTTCTGTCTTTCTGGCTGCCAAAACAACCCCTCAGGTCACTCCTCACATCTCCAAGTGGAGTCAGCTATTGCTGGGTTTTGACTGCTGCTTTGCTCTGCCCTGCTGCTATGAACTACTGTTAATGACCAGTTCCGCTTATGGATGGAGTATATAACTTCTTCCTATCTCTTAATTATATCCGGACAGGATGAGACCTGTCCAGTGTGGAACTGGGCTCCCAGGCCCCCCCAGCCACTCCCCCGGCCATTTCCATCCCTTCCAGCAGCTGTTTCCTCTCCATGCAGGCTGCTGGGAAGGGCTCAGCTGGCTGTGATTCAGGTGGTCTCCTGGCACCAGAGCTGCCTCTGATGCCAAGTCCTGATGCTCGTGGCCCATGGAGCTGGCAGATAGCACACTGGGTCTCTGCCTGCTGTCAGTGCCCAGCAGCTCCTAGCCTGTGGGGCTTCATCTCCTTTCTCTTTGCTTTCTCTCACACCCAGAGAAGCTGTGGATGCCTCTTCCCTGGAAATGTTCAAGGCCAGGTTGGATGGGTCTTGGATCAACCTGGTCTAGTGGAAGGTGTCCCTGCTCATAGCAGGGCGTTTGGACTGAATGATCTTTGAGATCCCTCCCAACTCAAATCATTCTGTGAGTTTATGATTCTCCACTGCTGCCTGTGTGTTGGGTAGCTGTTTCCCTGGCTACAGTGTCCAGCTGAACCACCACCAGGAGCTCTGGTATTTTCCAGTCTTGGCTTAAGCATGCCCAGTTCTTAGTTTACATGTTCCCCTGCTGTCTGCTGCAGACTCTCCAGAGCCATCTTGATGTTTTGCTTAATTTCCCTTTGGCTGTCTTTAATTCCTCTGTCTCCATTTCCCCTCTCCTGATGAACTGTCTGTCACGTGTGCCAGTGGCTGTTTGGTCTGGAGGCTGTTCCTGGGCTCTCCAGCCCACGGAGCTGAGCTTGTGCCAGCAGTGCAGGGCAGAGTGGGCTGCTGGGCAGATGCTGGGCATAACAAGTCCGAAGTCCTGAGGTGGAGAAGGAGCAGTTTCCTTTCCGACAACTCTCAGCCAGCCTTTTTTTCCTGGCAACTTCTGGAGTGTCTCTGAATTTGCACGCCAGGACAACACCTTGGCATGAAATGCAGGCAGTGTGCACATCCCTGTCCAGACAGAGCCCAGCCATCCCACCCATCTCAAACCAAGCAGAGCTCCTGGCTCAGCTGGCGCCCATGGCATGCCTGGCTTCGTGGGCTGCAGCTTGCTTTGCCATGAGAGGACCTGTCCCTCCTTACGTCTCCACTTTCAGCGAAGGCTGGGCTGGTCCCAGCAGTTTCCGCTGATTTTTGCTCTGCCATATGAGGAACCTTGGGATTTCTGGATGGAGGACTGATGGGCTTCTTGGTGGCAAAGAGAGGGATGGGCCAGTCGTTGGTGGGAAGGCTAACCTGGGTTCTATTTTTGCAAACATCAGCTGACCTCCTCTTCCCTGCAGTGTCTCTCATTCTCTGCCCTAGCACCTCTACCAAGAGCAGGAGCTCCTTGTCCTGCCCCCTTCCCCTCTGCCACCCCCTGGAGGTCTCCTCTGTGCCACAGAGGGACAGGCTCTGAATATATATTCAGCACTGAATATATTTCCTGGTGACATAGTGACAAACATGCACACTCACAACAGCCCAGAGAATCCCATGTGTGGGGTGATGCCTGGTCCAGGCTGGGTGAGACCTGAGCGACCCTGCCCACAGGTTTCCACAGGGAAGCAAAACACAGATCCTGCCTGGTACCTTGATCTTGGGTCTGAGGGAGAGCTACGGGCAGCACTGCACACTGGGCAGAGAATGCTGTAGGAATGGGGCATCTTCCCATGTCACAAGACTCGCTCAGGTTCCTCTCTGCCCACTACCACCCTCCTGCAAATTTTCCAACAGGGAGCCTGTCCTGCCCCAAAGCAGCCGAGCAGACCTGTTGGCATGCTAGCAACCAAAGGGTTAAATCTTTGCACCCATACCCAGCTGGGAAACTACACCTGGAGTGTGTGTGTGTGTGTGTGTGTGTGTGTGTGTGTGTTTTTGGGTCAAACTTCTCCTGGCCCAAGACCCTCTCCCAGCCCGGCCGGCCCCAGTGCCTGGCACGGTGTGGGGACTCCCAGGGGGCCGCTTCCCTGCTCTTCCCAGCATCGTGTGCTTCATCCAGCTCTTCCCACCAGGCTCACCCGCACGCTGGGAAGGGGAAGCAGCAGCCAGCCGCTCGTGTGCCGCTGGCTTCCAGCAATTCTTCCCCGCTTCCCCGGGACCCTCTCGCTCCGCGGCGTTCCTGCACCGTGTGCCTGGCAGGCAGCCCACCCTCTTCCCAGCCACGGGGGTTTTCCACGCTGGGCTTTGCAAACTACCTCTGCACTGGGTCCTGGGATTCTGCAGGAAGGAATTTGCTGGTCAGCGGGTTGAGCGGAGCTGCGCGACCCTGTTCCTGTTAGCAGTGACTTCAGTTTGGAGCCAGCATCCAGAAGGATTTGGAAATTCCCAGGCCCCTTGGTTGCTCCCCCTTGATGCCTTCAGACCACTTGAGAAGCCTCTGCTCCCAGCCCCAAGCCACCTGAGGAGAAGACCCCACGTCTGGTTAAACAGGACAGATCTGGGGGCTTTAGCTGGGCTGAAGGGCAGCCCAGAGCTGGAAGAGCAGAGGGCTGAACGGTGAGGAGGTGGGATGTCCTGGCATTATAGGGTAAGATGCCAGGAAACTGCAGTGCTGGAAGCCAGGGCAGTAACTTGTAGGTGAACTCCAGGTGCTGGTGCTGAGGTGCAGAGTGCAAACATTGGAAGCATTTGAGTTGGAGCCTTGAGTGAGTCCCTGCAATCTGCCACAGTGATTTCACTGCCTGGGAAAGGCTCACAAGCGAGGTGGTTTGGTGAAATTTGCTGTGATCCCACTGTTCTTGCATACTATTTTTGCAGGAGGACAGCCTCCTCTCTTCCTGCAGTCTGGAGATCCCACCACCACAAGGATGCACAGAGTGCTGCCCGAGCGTGGGGGTAACTGGAGGCACCATTGTACAAAGTCCAGTTGAAAAGGCTGTGTCCAGTGTCTGACACAGACCTTGGAGAAAGAAAAAGGTTCCCCATAGCTGGGACACCACAGAGGACAACCCTGCCTGGTTACATTCCCCTCCCAGTGTCTATCTCCATCCTGCCCCTCTGAGCTCTGGGCTAAGGCTGTTGCTTGCAGGAGCCCAGGCTGGCAAGAAATGGTTTGAAGTGGGTGTGTGCAAGAAATTGTGCCTGGCCAGAATGCCTGTGGGAGGCTGCTGGTGCTGGAAGCCCCAGAATCCCTGTCTCTACCTCCACCCCCAGCAGAACTTTTGTATCCCAGAAGTTCTATCTGCCTTGCAACCCCCCCTGTGCATTGGGATGCTCACCCCTCTCTCATTGGCAGAAGCTCCCTGGCTTCTCCCTGGGCTGAGGTGACAGGGGACAGAGCAAGACTCTCTGGGAGGAAGGAGTGAACTGGGGACTCTGAGGCAAGGCAGGTGGGGAGAAGGGGTATGGCCCTCCATGCCAGTGTCCGTGGGGTCCTGCTCATCAGACACACAAGTGCATCTGCTTTGCTCAGCCAGAGCAGTGGCCAAGTACCCCTGCCCTTTGTTCTCTCCTAAGTCCCCTCCAATCCACCTTCCTTGGAAGGACTGGAGTGAGGGTCTGCTCAGCTGGCTGCTTTTGCCAAGGACTGATGGCTGTGAAGGGAACGTGTGCCCTGACCCTCCTCAGCAGCTCAGACCATGCTTGGGGCTGGCTGCTGGCCAGAGGATGCTGCCACGGTGTCTTGGAAACACAGAGAGAGCCAGGGGCTTTCCAGGAGCCTGCTCCATGGCTGGAGCTGAGATAGGGCAAGGAAGGGATCTAGGCTCTACACTGGGACACCAAATCTCTCCTGGCTGGACCAGTCCATACTGTGAGCAACAGGATATGTCTCCCCTCCCTCTACATCCCTTATCCTCATACTAGACAGGCTCGGAGAGAGATTTGATGGCTACAGGATTAGTTTCCCCAGCTTCTCCAGTGCATGGACATGCAGTGGGACAATGTCCCAGACATGCTAAGGGTGGGTGTTCATCCAGGTGCTCAGCTGGGCACTGCAGCCTGAGGAGGTTGTGCAGTTAAGAGCTGGAAAGCCAATAAGATCCAGCATGGCTCTCCTTTTGCTGCCTTGTCCTGGTGCTTTGGGTTGGAGGGATGTGTGATGGTGCATAGGACTCCTTCAGGGACCAGTTCCCTATGCTGCCAAACACCCTGGGGGCAAGTACCCACAGGTGAACCTCTGCTGCAACACGGGCCATGCCTGCTTTATGCCCCAGGGTCTGATGCTTAAGACCACATCAACATTGGTGCTGCATGAATGTGCGAGGAGCTGGACCCATGGATGCCACCAGCATGGTACCTCCCATTCTCTTCTGCACAAGGGATGAAGCAAGCTCCAGGAGCACAGCCCTGGATCCCTGTGCTGCCTCGCACCAAACTTGTCCCCACTGCAGCTTGCCAAGTTTGTTGCCTAAGAGAGGGCTTGGGGGCAGTTGCTGGTGAGCTCCACCACTGTGACTCCGTCATTGTCCGCTCTCTGCTGAAGGAGGTGAGAGCCTGAGCATCTTATCACTGCTCTGCTTTCATAGAATCACAGAATCACAGAATCTTAGAGGTTGGAAGGGACCTGGAAAGATCACCCAGACCAAGCACCCTGCCAGAGCAGGGTCACCCAGAGCACATCACACAGGAACGTGTCCAGGGGGGTTTGAATGTCTCCAGTGAAGGAGACTCCACAGCCTCTCTGGGCAGCCTGTTCCAGGGCTCTGTCACTCTCACAGGAAAGAAGTTTTTTCTGATGTTTACGTGGAACCTCCTATGCTCCAGTTTGCACCCTTTGCTCCTTGTCCTGTCACTGCACACCACTGAGAAGAATCTGGCTCTGTCCTCCTGACACTCAGCCTTTACAAGTTTATAAATGTTAACAAGGCCACCCCTCAGTCTCCTCTTCTCCAAGCTAAAGAGATCCAGCTCCCTCAGCCTTTCCTCAGAAGGGAGATGTTCCACTCCTATAGCAGCTGGGATTTTGGTCTCTCCCTGGGTTACTCCTTGCTCTTGATAATGGTTCATGAGAGTCCTTAGCAGGAACCAGTGCTGACAATGGGACCAGGAAAGGGCTCTGCCCCACTGGCATCAGGGTGACCCTCCTGAGACTCTGCATCCCATCAGGGATCCCTGGACACAGCTGACATGGCAACAGGATCGGGTCTGGATGAGGGACTGGAAGGCCAGATGATTGATGAGGGACTGTGAGTGTTGGGATGGTGAAGCTGGGGATGAGATGGCGAAGAGGGGTTCTTGGTGGTGGGCACTGCCTGGAGGGGCTGGAGAGATGCTGGGACCCCTTTTATTTACCAGAGACACCTTGGGACAGGTCAAAAAACAGCAGCACTGGAGGCTCAAGGGAAATTCCAGTTAAATAGTGAGGAAAATGTTTTCAATATGAGAAGACTTCAAGCAATGGAGCAGGTTGCCCAAAGCAGTTGTTAAACCTCCATCCTTGGTCACTTCCAGACCATGTCCTGCTGATCACATGAAGCTGTGTAGGTCTCTGGCTGCCTCCTGCTCAGAGCAGGACTGGTGTTACACCAGGTTGCTCAGGGCTTGGTCCAGCCATGTGGCCATGTCTTTGCATGGTCTTTGCCATCACAGGGGTGCCTTGTGGGCTCCTGATCAGCTCCCCCAGGTCCACTGATGCACAATCCCCATCTTGCCAGCCATGCCCACCCTTGCTTCATGAGGTCATGTTATCTTGTCCGTGGTGCTGCACATTTTGTCCATCTTAGACCTCAGGAAGTTCCCATAAGCTTGTTCCTCCAGCTGGTTGATGTCCTTGATCACCATCACCTTCCTACAATGTGGTGTTACCACCAGCACGTGGTGGGCTGTGCTATCTCCCCCACCCCTGTTTGCAGTCAGTCCCTCACACCCCAGCCCTACAGATGTGTTCAGCTGCTTGGGGAGATCCCTGAGACAGCTGGACAGGGGTGGGGGCTCAATGGGAGAGAGGATGGGGGGTCATCTGAGCCCCTTCTCACCTGTGTGAGGTTGGTGGGAGAAAAGCTCAGGAGAAGAGCACGAGGTGGGGAAACAAAACAAACCAACTAATTGGTTTTCCTAGTGGCTTGGACACCTGCCAGGGTCCCTGTCTGGACAACAGAGAAGCAAACAGCAACACCCGACCTGCTGAGAGCAGGTAGAGGCAGGTTGCAGGACTAGGAAGGAAACAGGAGCTCACAAACTCATCACCCAGCTGTGATGGGGCCATGTCTCCGGTGTGCCCCCGGCCTGGCACGCTGTGCCGTGATGGGCAGCTGGGAGCAAGACAGGACGGGTCCACAGAGTTAAAAAAAACAAAAACAAAAAAAAAAAAAAAGGGAAAAAAAAAAGAAAAAAAGAGGGGCTCACAGCTAAC